ACTATTACAGGGTGGGGGCTCCTGCTAAGTTATGGCCTTTTGTTGCTGTGGGCATCTTGTTTTCCCTGTCTTAGCCACTAATGTTGTAGCCCAGGTATATATACCCGCCTGTGGTGCGTCTATGCTGCTGTGCTATTGTTGAATAGCATTTTACGAGTTGGTGAAGGCCAAGACAAAGCTATGATTGTTCAACAGATGAAGTTAAGACCATCCCAGTAGCGCTACAACCTCAGCCCCCACCCCCAACCCATACGCCCTGAGGGTAAATAGCTACATCTACATCATCAACCCGAAACCCAAAGCCGCACATCCCACAGCCTAATCCCTACCCGCCTTGTTGTAACGAAAATGAACCCTGAACCCGAAGCCTCAACCCCAAATCCTAAACCNNTATCTACTTAAGGGGACTATAGTACCATTGAACTCCTGAAAGGAAGCCTACCTCGGTACTTGCTGGCACAAGACCTGCATTATGCCTGCCAGACCACAACGATCACAGCAGTGTTCTGTGGCTGTACGGACGCTTCTGGCACCTAGCTAGGCATATTCAGAGAGAGTCCCTAAACCCTAAACCCTGGTTTATCAAAAAAAGGTACCTGAAGGCTGTAGGATGGGACCTGATAGTAGCTAGAGTGTTTCCTACCCAGTCGGTTGTAACAGTTTAGTGTGTATTTCCCCCTGGTCTAGTACAGATCAGCGTCAGGTAGCAGGCTGCACGCCTGCCGCAAGATGTATTGGCCATTACTAACAAAAGTCTAGAATACTCATGCATTCATTGGCAACCCCTCAGCCCTGAACAAAGGTACCATCCACTCTGGGACTGCTCCTGGGCTGCTTTTGGCTCCTTGCAGTGTTCCATGGCTGTTCCAGCTGCCCACGCTGCTTTGTGGATCCCTTCCTCAGTGCAAGCGCGACACTGACGACTGCGTGCTTCGTGGCCTCCCTGGTCATGGAATGCTTCCACCGTCGCCTTCGAGTTTGGGTCAAGTGCATCATCATCCGCAGCGTGCATATCCTTATCATCTGCATTTGCGCAGCTGTGTCCGTGCCATACTTAGCCTTGGTACCTGTGGGCCAGAGCCCATGGAGCCGCATCTTTCAGCAGCTGATTCCCTGCGCGCTGTGCGTTTTCAATGTGTGCCGCGCCGCGCAGCTCAACCAGCATCAGCTGGAGGATGTTTGGCAAAGACGAAGAGCACGTATTACTGCGCCTAGATACCTTCTAGATGACTGGTTAGATGATATCGATTGTTCTCCTCTGCTTACTTCTTAAGCTCAGTATACCATATTCTCTTTTCTGTGAATGTCCGTGTCCTTTTTGCTCTCAGTAGCACCACACTTAAACGGTTGTACGCTATGAAGAATGGACCTTACACAGCCGTGCTTTTGTTGATCTTTCCTTTCCTGCATGTGGCAATATGTTTATAGGGTGAGTCTTGCTTTGGGTACTGACGTTAGCCTTGGTTGGCATACTTTCTCTTTGCAGCTTATGGTTCACCATGTATGAGACAATCGCGGCCTGGACTTGCCTGAGAATTCCTGGGTACCCCAGTAGTACCATTTTTCCCTTCTTATTTTGGGGGGTCTTCGTATGAAAAATGAACATCAGGAAACGGCGGGTCACTGGGGAACCTAGATTCCTGACTCAGCACCAAAACCTCTTACCCTGATTGTGGCAGGACATGGAACTCTCAAAGCAAGCCAGTCTCCTCGCCATTCAGACATTGGAGGCCATCCAGTCTGTGTTCTTTTGTGCTTTTTGCAGCAAATGTCACGGTGCAGATCCCTTAGCTCAATGCACAGAGATGGGTGAGTGCATGACAGATTTCAGCAGTTCTGCTCGGACTCTTGTCACAAGAGAGCAGCGAGGGCAGCGTGCTGCATGGGATGCGCAGGACGCTAATTGCTCCGACCCCCACGACGAAGCTCGAATTCGGCAGGCCATACACGGCTACGAGGCCTGTCATGCATGTATGGCTGTGCGCACCTACCGTTATGGGCAGGAGCACGGAGGGCTACCTGACAACCAGGGAACTACCCGATCCGGCCTGCCCCGAAGTTAAACGAGTTTTCTCGCTATGCTACGTTTCAGATGCATATTTGAGGTGTGCTTGCATATGATCCTAGCTCAAAGCCTGTAACTTCATCCCTCGCAACTTGGAATTCAACCATTGAAAGTTGCATTGACGATAATGAGGTTAGAACTCAAGTACATGTTGGGGTATATACGGGTCTCCCCTACGTAATATATGGAACTCCCAATGAGAATTCGCGATGAACTGGCCGACTGGACAAAGTCTACGAAAACATCAGCCCGACCCCCGCAGGGTTTACCTGGACCCTGAAGGTCCTACCTTTTTGGGGAAATACCTTATGAACATGTGAACATGTAGGACTGACCTCCAAAAAGGAAGGACATCTAGGGTCCAGGTAAGGCTTGGGGTCCAGGACCATGGTTTAGGGTTGACCGGCATGCATCGCAGAACGACGACATTACACGAACACAGAAGCAATGGGATGAAGGGATGATGCACGGTCCTCTTGCAGTTGCAGAAGCTGCTCACCTGGTTCAGTGTTCAGCCTGTGCGACTCATTATCAGGCGTTTGTAGGTGCAGAGGGAACCATCGCCTGCCCTTGCACAGATTCATGCCGGCACAGTGGACTGGTCTTGTCTGTATTCTGGCCAGGGCCGTGCTAGTTGCTGTCGTGGCGTTCAATTTCCTTTTACCTGGCAAGCCTTACTTTCACAAATGCAGGCATTCATGAGCAATCGGAACTAGGGCCACATGACCGCACCTGGTAGGCTAATCCCCTCCCCATGACAACACATCACCAACAAGCAACGTACCCCCTGTTTTATTACATATTGTGCAATGGAAAATGTGCTATTCTGGGCTCCCATGCTTGTTGCAGGCGGAGGTGGACGTTACAATACGCGTGCCCCGGCCTGTAAGGGCTCGTCCTTGCTGTCGCAGGCTGCAGCATTTGAAGATACCCTCGTAGGGAAGAACCCAAGGTAAAACCCCCTCTAACCACTAGTATAGACAACAACAACAACAACAACACGAGGGTCCTTCACAAAATAGTGCTAAAACATGCTTACCTAGGTTGATAATATGTTCACAACATGATTCTCAAGCGCATTTGCATCAGCCTAGTTCTTAGCATTGTGTGCCAGTTGGCTCTTGAAGGACCAGCTAGCCCAGACCCCTGGGAGGAT